CCCCAGATCGGAATATCAGCTAAGATATACAAGCAGCATAAAAGGTCAGGATTTGCTGAAAAGGATACATCAATAAATCAACCTACTGGCTTGGTTCATTCTTCACACCCAGCTGTCATTGTAATATCTTTGTGCAATCACATAATATAACCACATTTCTAATACTACATACAGATCAAGGCAGCACATCTCAAAAATACTATTAAATGACTGAGAAGAATGCCAAAAAGATAATTTAAATTATCAGGGACAGAAGTCATGCTTTGTGCCAAATATGTCAATTGGATTTTCTCTCTACAACATATTTCTCAAGAAAAGTCAAGAAGATTAGATAAACAGATGTACTACTATACAGAACATTAGGAAACAATTCATACAAATAATTCTCTGTCTAAACGAACCCAGAATATTGCCGCTATACTTGTTAGTCACAAGATTCAAGACTCTCTAATGCTGGGGTGTCAAACTCGATTTCATTGAGGGCCACAGCAAGGTTGTGTTTGACTTCGGGGGGGGCGGGGGGGCGTGGCTAGCTCGATGTCACTTGTGTCGGGGGAGCCTGTGGTAGCCCAAGCGCTCTGCCAGCGAAAACAGGCTCCCAAGCTCCGTTTTCAGCTGTGATGGCCTCCTGCAACCCTGTGCCAATGAAAATGGAGCTCAGGAGGGTCACCCATGGCCCTCTTGAGCTCTGTTTTCGCTGTCAGATGCACCATGGGGCAGTCCTTCACTGTTTCAAAGGTTGGCCCCACAGGCCAGATCTAAGCCCCTGGGCCCCTGGGCCTTGAGTTTGACACCCCTACTCTAATGGTTAGAGTTTAGATGCCAATAATCATGGACTGCATGGAGGGAACAACTTTTTTACAAAAATGATAAGAGCAATTGTAGACAGCAATTCATTTTACCAAAAAGTCCTGGGATTTTTAAAAAAATACTGGAAGAGTCTGGCAATTAACAAAGAAAAGCTCAGTTCATACTCTGTAATCTATTCACCTTGAACTAATTAAATGGACCCAACAGTAGATTGCAGGTCAATCTAAAATGGAATCCAACAGAGGCACAATCACAATTAAATAGACATATAGAAAGATGAAGGAAAAAAAGATATTGTGGACAAAAGAGAGAGTTGACAAAAACTAAAAACAGACCTCAGTTGATAGGCTGACAAAAAGCTAGTCTTTATTTTGTGTTGTGGAGAAAATGCCTGCTTTAAAAAAGGACCAAAGCACTCGAAGATAGATGCCACAAGATATTGCTTATTGACATGGACAACAACAGGAATCATTGAGATTCTGGCCAAAACAATGCAAAAGAGTCCTAGTCTTAAGCAAGGTTAAATGTTATATACCCCCAGGAATGTTTCATAGTTGAATGATAAAGAAAGTAATATACATTGTACTGTGATCTTTATACCAAGGAGGTAGCATTTGATAATACTACAGGATTTCTCTTTCTGTCCTAGCCACTTTTTACAGAGACACAATTGAGAGCATTTTAACAAACTGTATCCCTGTTTAGTTTGGTGGCAGCAGTGCCTCAGATAGTAAGTCCATACAGAGAGTGGTAAGGACAGCTGAGAAGATTATAGGAAGCTTGCTTCCTGTTATTCAGGATACTGCTTATAAGCACTATGTGCTTAGAGTTCAAAGCATTGTGAGAGACCCCACACACCCACTTTACAGTCTGTTTCTGTTGCTCCCCGCTGGGAGGACATTTTGAAATATTTCTAGCAGGATACAAGATTCTGTAACAGCTTTGTTCCCTATGCCATCCATCTGGTAAATTCACA